CAATTGCGTTTAGTACAATTAGTGTGGTTTTAAGTTGTAATTAAGTATTTTATAATTAAAGTGTCAATTTTGGTTATTCAATCGGCAGTTTTTAATTGTCTCGAACCCCAAGCTCGTAACAATATAATGCCTTAGACGCAAGCTTTATACCTTATATTTGTACCACATATAAAACCAAGATCGACGCTGCGTTGATCTATCTACGTTGTTATTCGTAACTACAGAACGGATTTTGTTACGGGTTTCAAATAAGAAAATGCCTACGCATACGCATAAGAACGGATTATGTCAGGCTTGCACCTTCACGGTGGTAGAGCCACGCGGCAGTTTTTGCTGTTGCACGTATGGGCCGGCTCGAGCCCGGTTGGTACCACGACCTCACAGAATACCGGCGTGAAGTAGAAGCTCTGCTTCTGCGTTTCGTCTGGTGAGTGCAGGTGGCCGGACACCCAATCCCCCCCCCCCCATCAACATGGTAGCGGAATTACACGAAAGACTACTCGCTGAGCATCCACGACCATGTTATTCTACTCCTAAGCGTGGGTGCTCAGGCTGCCCCGCGTATTCTGGGGGGGGGGGGGGAGGGGGCCAAAATTGCGTTCAAAAACATAATTGCTCGGGGCAAACTGAGCAACACTACCAAGGCGACCCCTGCCACATTATCCGTAAATTTCTGCAACATCAGGGGACTTCACTCGAACCTAAACGTCGTCCACTACCATCTCGAGACGGCGAAGCCGGCCTTGCTCTTTCTGACCGAGACGCAGGTGTCCTCTCCGGTTCACGTTTAACCGATCATGCGGGGAGATCTGTTTATGACTTTGCCTTGGCATATGGTCTGACACAACTGGTTACTTCGCCTACGCAGATTCCAAATGTGGAGGATCATACACCTTCCCTGTTGGACCTTCTGCTGACCTCTCATCCGGACGGATATCAGGTTTCCGTCGATGCCCCTCTCGGCTCTTCGGACCATTGTCTGATCCGGAGTGTGGTACCACTCACGCTCCCCTCGCGGTTGCGTTCTGCAGGTTGCCGCCGTGTTTGGCATTACAGGTCGGCGGATTGGGACGGAATGCGGTTTTTCTTTGCATCCTACCCATGGGGGCGGGTTTGCTTCTCGCCGGATGATCCCAGCGCTGTTGCTGACTATGTCACTGATGTGGTGCTACAGGGAATGGAACTATTTCTTCCATCATCTGTGGTACCCATCGGAGGCAGATCTCAGCCTTGGTTTGGTCGCTCCTGTAAGACTGCATTACGCAGTAAGCAGGAGTGTTATCAAGCCTGGGCTGCGGCTACGGCGACTCGGGATGTAAGCACCAGCACACTTAAAAAGAAGTATAACTTCGCCTCCAGGTCCTTCAAAAGAGTTATTGCCAAGGCAAAGTCAGAGCACATAGGCAGAATTGACGAGAAACTAGTTCGCCTTCCTTCGGGAACCCGTGCATTCTGGTCTCTCGTCAAGACTGTCCAAGGGAATTTCTGTACGCCATCACTACCATCTCTGCACAGGGAGGACGAGTCACTGGCCCAAGCCGCAAAAGACAAAGCCGACTTTTTGCGTCCAACTCGACTCTTGATGACGGGGGGAAAACACCGCCGACCATCCCGCGGTATGAGTGCTCCATGCCGGATGTGCTGTTCTCACAGCGCTCGGTTCGCAAAGTACTCCTCTCCCTGGACATCCAGAAGTCGAGAGGGCCTGACGGAATCCCCCCAATTGTGCTGAGGACGTGTGCTCCGGAGTTGGCACCTGTCCTAACGAGTCCTTTCCGGTACTCCTACTCCCAAGGCATAGTCCCGAATTCATGGAAGACAGCTTTTGTCCACCCGATCCCTAAAAAAGGCGACCGTTCAAACCCATCCAACTATAGGCCTATCGCCATCACCTCCTTGTTCTCCAAAATAATGGAATCCATTATTAACTGCCAGTTCATCCGGTACCTTGAGGATCACCAGCTGATTAGTGATCGCCAATACGGTTTTCGTCGGGGTCGATCAGCTGGTGATCTTCTGGTCTACCTGACCCATAGATGGGCGGAGGCAGTAGAGTCCAAGGGGGAGGCGTTGGCCATTAGTTTGGACCTTCGATCGGGTTTGGCACAAAGCGCTTCCTTCGAAGCTCCCTTCCTATGGGCTTCCCGAGAAATTGAATCACCAGCTCCCTTGCAGATCGGAGCATCAAGGTCGTTGAAGACGGTGCATGCTCCGACTATAAGCCTATTAACGCTGGTGTTTCACAAGGCTGTGTGCTATCACCAACGCTGTTTCTTCTGCATATCAATGATATGTTGCTAACTGGTAACATTCATTGCTATGCGGATGACAGCACTGGTGATGCTTTATACACCGGCCGTGCCAATATTTCTCGGGAAAACGTCGCTGAGTACCGGAACAAACTTGTGTCTGAAGTCGAGTCTTTGCTGAGCAAAGTCTCGGATTGGGGGCGACTAAATCTAGTCCAGTTTAATCCTCAGAAGACACAAGTTTGCGCGTTTACCGCTAAAAATCACCCCTTTGTCGTATCTCCTCAGCTTCAAGGCACTCCCCTTCTTGCCTCAGCCAGTATCGGTATCCTCGGAGTCGACATATCGAGTGACGTGCAGTTTCGTGGTCACTTGGAAGAGAAGCCCAAATTGGCTTCTAAAAAGCTTGGCGTGCTCAGCAGAGCGGGACAGTATTTCATGCCGGCACACCGCCTGCAACTTTACAAGGCGCAGGTTCGGCCTCACATGGAATACTGTTCCCATCTCTGGGCAGGAGCTCCCCAGTGCCAGCTCCTTCCACTTGACCGCATCCAGCGCAGAGCGGCTCGATTCATTGGCACTGCGAAGAGATGTTGCATCCCCTTGCATTTTCTTTCGCATCTACCACGGGGAGTGCTCTCAGGAATTGTTCGGATTAATCCCAGCCGCCAAATTTCACGAACGCACATCGCGGCAGAACTCCCGATACCATCCACACCATCTGGATGATTGGCGGTCCACCACTGTGCGATTTAGAAGATGTTTTCTTCCTCGCACGACTTTCTTGTGGAATCGATTACCATCAGCGATTTTTCCGGACCCATACTACTTAGGGACCTTCAAGAAAAGAGCCTACTCCTTTTTAAAAGGCCGGCAACGCATCTGAAATTCCCCTGGTGTTGCGGTTGTTCATGGGCGGCGGTAGTCACTTACCATCAGGTGAGCCACTTGGGGGCAAATGAGCCCCTCTCCTATAAAAAAACCTACTAAAACCCCATGATGTTTCACCTTTACCACACACTGACAGGGCCACGGAAACGCTTCAAGCACATCCGCGGCCCCACCAACGAGGACTTCTCCTTAGTTGAGGACTTCCGTCCCTGACTTCCAGAGCCCGATATGTGGAGGTCATGGTGCCAAGAAGAAACGAGCACTCGGAAGCACCAAGTAGTACAGTCCCGCTAAAGTCGCGGAAGATAGTCGAGTGGCGTATTACCATACCAACAATCCTCTTCCCTCGCGACTCCACCTCGGCTGCAGCGATATAGAGAGAGAACTCTCCTCTAGCCGCAGCTCACTAACACATATCCAAGGGCTCGACAAGCACACTCAGAGTGGCTACCTTGGGCCAGCCCTTCACTTCTGGCCAGCCATGTGAGTCGCCCTACGTTTGCCATGGGTTAACAAGCTACGGCTACTACGGAAAATGACGGCGGTTTAAATCGGTATAAGCATTTTGTATGGAATAGTCAGTTCAGCGTACTTGTATATAGAGGTCCGTAGGCCCATTAGATGCTAATGATGTTGAGGTTTGTCGGTTTCGACGGCTGAGAAAAGACTTTTGTTGTCCAGTGGTGGAAGGAGAGGGAGGAATTAAATTATACAATTCCTGCGCACACTCTCCGAAATATATCGTGTAGAAAACCGAAAGGCTGGCTACTTTGCGCTCGTGTTCGAGACTGTTAAAATTGGTTTTAACTAAATTCGGGTCACCAATTAGCCTTTTGGCACGTCTTTCCATCGAGTCCAAAGCTGCAAGGTGGTATTTTACTAGCCCATATATGGCAGCAATACTCCATGCACAACCGGATTTGCCTTTTATATAAAGTAAGCAGCTGTCCCGGCGTGAAGTATCGCCGCACCTTTAGAATGTGGTATGTGTGTGGAATACGTGTATATTTATTAAGGTGAGAAGGTGGCAACTGCGATATGATGTATGAAACAAACGTGTAACCACGTATCAGGGTGACATGCATAGGTTTGTGTGATATGTAAGCTGTACGATGGTATGGTGTAAGGGGGTGTGTGCGTGTGCGTGCGTGCGTGCGTGTGTGTGCGTGTGCGTGCGTGTGTGTACGTGTGCGTGCGCGTGTGTGCGTGCGTGTGTGTGCGTGTGTGTACGTGTCCGTGCGTGTGTGTGCGTGTGTTTGCGTGTGCGTGCGCGTGCGTGCGTGCGCGTGTGTGCGTGCGTGTGTGTGCGTGTGCGTGCGTGTGTGTGTGCGTGCGCGTGTATTCGTGTGCGTGCGTGTGTGTGCGTGCGTGTGTGTGCGTGCGTGCGTGTGTGTGCGTGTGTGTGCGTGTGCGTGCATGAGCGTGCGTGTGTACGTGTGCGTGCGTGTGTGCGTGTGCGTGCGCGTGTGTGCGTGTGCGTGCGTGTGCGCGTGTGCGTGCGTGTGTGTGCGTGTGCGTGCATGAGCGTGCGTGTGTGCGAGTGTGCGTGCGCGTGTGTGCTTGCGTGTGTGTGTGTGTGCGTGCGCGTGTTAGCGTGCGTGTGTGTGCGTGCGTGTGTGTACGTGTGCGTGCGCGTGTGTGTACGTGTGCGTGCGTGCGCGTGTGTGTACGTGTGTGCGTGCGCGTGTGTGCGTGCGTGCGTGTGTGTGCGTGCGTGTATGTGAGTGTGCGTGTGTGCGTGTGCGTGTGCGTGCGCGTGTGTTCGTGCGTGTGCGTGCGCGTGTGTGTGTGTGCGTGTGTGCGTGCTTGTGTGTGCGTGTGCGTGCGCGTGCGAGAGCGCGTGTGTGCGTGCGTACGTACCGCGAGCGCGGCGTCGAGCGCGTGCTGCGGCAGGCGCAGGCGGCGGCGCAGCGCGGGCGGCAGGCGCAGCGCGTCGTCCGCGCCGCCCAGCGCCAGCAGCCGCGCGCCGCCCGCCCCGCCCGCGCCGCCCGCCCCGCCCGCCCCGCCCGCCGCCCCGCCGCCCGCCCGCAGCCGCGCCACCAGCTCGCGCGCCGCGCCCGCGCCGCACGCCGCGCCGCCGCCGCCCGCCACCACCAGCACCGGCACGCGCACCTGCTCGCGCCCACATACAACAACCATACTTAATCAAACCAATATTGTTTCTGTTTTTGTTCACTTCTAATTCCATCATACGACCGACGGACTTCGGTACAAGCGTTTGGAGTAAACGGAACAGTTACACTATACTACTATCTATCGGAAGAAGATACATTGAACACACTGAAATTCTGCGCTCCTGGCCGCTTGCAAATGTTTGAATAAGGTTCGTTATCCGTAACAAAAAAGATACTAACACTAAAAGATTTTAGAGCGAAATTTTTTTTGATTAATAAAATTACTCTCCGCGATTTAAAAAAAAAGACAAAGGACCATGCCCATATTAGTATGGAGCTGAAAGTCAGCAATGCCATGCAATGCCCAAATTGCAGCTCTATGTCATATGATAACTTTTAACAGTATTTATATGATATCTAGATTTAATGTCATATAAAGCACCGATTCAAAAGATATTGGACATTAAACATGATAACTTCCTACTGGTTTTTTATACAGTGAAAAAATAAGTGACAGTCATTTTAGTTTTTTTGGAATGTTTTTGACTTGGAACGAAGTCTTTTGAGCCATTACTTCATTAGGTTTTTGCTTTAATTATATTTGTTTATATGAAGCCTAGATATACGTATACACTACCACAAAGTACTTTTTTACTTTTGAGTGTCTGGAGATATCATTTAGATCTTTATTCAACTCGTTGATGATTCAAATGTAAAAAATAATAATCGATATTGGAATAGATTACTTAGATCAATTGATCAACAAAAAAACGATTCCTTTTTCGAAGATTTTATTTATCATGCCAATTATTTAGCCCCGAACTAAACAAAGCCTAAGATTTTCTAATTTAAGAGACTGTCAATCAGGTATAGGTGAACAAACAAATAGTCCCATAAATGGCGTTGATAAAAAACTAGTCTGTCTCTGGCTTTTGATAACAAAATGAATGCTTAACTGGGCCATGTTGTTTTCATCTGATAACGTTTATTATAAAATCATATTTTTATTTGGTTTTGTTGTAAAGCAGTATATTGTTATTCGATTTAGTAATCACTTTTATGACTAATCAAAGGACGTGATTGCAGACCGTAATAAATAAAGCATGAATTAATGATTGAAACGTCTTATTTTTTTTTATCCAATGCTTCATATGATTTAAAATTAACAACATAATTCTAGTTTTTATTTATTAGAGCAATATTGTAATATACTTTATCTGGGCATTTCTGGGGCAAGGATGGGCATTGTCTTTTATAAACTACAATGCATGTAAAATTAAGTTAAAATTTTATACAAATTATGACATAATAGCTGTTCCCGGACTTCGGCGCTTGGTATTTATTACGATTGGATTTAAAGGGTTTTAATTTTTTTGCGCGGAATCCTAATTATTTTTCTAAAATAAAAGTAGCCTGCGTTACTCCTTATAACATCAGCTATCTGTGCGAGACCAGTGCCAGCTATAAGCTGGAACATACAGACACACAGAGATAAACATTTAAATTTTTTTGTCTTTATGTTACAAATACCGTATATACTTTCATATGTATTTAGTAAAAGGCTGTTATTTTGATATTACAAAAAGATATTCAATATATAGATTATACTATGTATTAATTTGAAAGTAAAAATGATCTTCCATTTCATGTTGATTGAAACATTCATATTGACATTTAAACAACTAAAATGGCTGTGAGCATCTGTAATTTTCAGTACGGCGTTCACTGCACCGGCAGCTTTTCAAGATACGAGTGCTAGCGCCTTTCAAATATGTGTATTAGTGTTGCCAGGTCCAATGGGCCAAATATCGTGACGGAAGGTAAAAATAATCGAAAATTTGGTTTACAAATGCAATGAAATAAAAATAAAAATTAGGTTTCTTGTAGCCATTTTGGCCGCCAAGCGTTATGATAAAATATTTTTGACACAATGCGCAATTTGCTTTTTTTGCCTGAGCTGACCAACGAATAATTTATCGTTCATGCATCGGAAACACTGCATATTTTTTTCCGTAAATCAGAATTTGTTGAACGATTAGTTCCAATTCCAATACATATTTACGTGATTTTTATATATTTGATTTATTTCAAAACCGATTTTTGATAGTCTGTGGTTGTTCGTTATGGCATGGTATAGTTTAGCGTGGCACATCACTATCGTAAGTGGGCGGTATCCATCCATGAAGTACAACAATATCTGTATGACAGTTTACCTAAAAAAATACGAAACTTCATAGGCGTGAGCTGTCATTCGCACCACGTTACAATGCAAAGACTATAGTAAACTTTGATAAAGAATACTTTGAAAAACAGTGAATATATTAATTATTATATATGTTATAATACATCATATGAATTGTTTTATTTGTGAGTTACGCAAAACATTCAGTGTACCCTGCGTGTTCCAGGTTTTCCCGTAGTCGTGTTTTACGATTTATGACAGAGTCATTGTATTTGTGACAAATTCTTATTCTTTTACACACGATTAAGTAAAATATATCGACAATGTATCCCGTACATTATTTATTTCTACTATGTGCCAATTCATCAACGCAACACATATGTACTCGTATGTGCTCTCCTTTAGAGAATTTATGCGGTAGAAGCCTATAAAGAATGTATACAGCAGAGAAATTATCTAGTTACTTTATTTTGTTAATTACACACAAAATAGTCAATAACGAACAATTTATGATGCGATAATAGACACGCGGTAAAGCGGGATGTAATAAAGATCACCTCGTGTAGTATGTCGTCGGGATCATCTCGCGCACCCTCTGCCGTCAGCAGTGGCGGCGCCAGCAGCAACAAGGCTTGCACCCTCCCCGCCCCGCCCGCACCCCCGCCCGCGCCCGCCGCCAGCCACGCGCACAGCGCCGCACTCGCACCCACGCCCCCCAACACCACGAACCGGGACCTGCCACCACACATCAGGCCTAATATCCTTACGTTTACACATGTCGCGGTAGGAGTTGCTACTCAGTTGAACCTATTTGTTACGCAGATGATTCCACAGTGTCGTCATTAATGAAAAGTTTCGTGTTAAATTAAAGTTCAGTTTCTAGTGTATGTAGATACACAAAGTAATGTCCTATTTACAATGCCATAACGGTAATTTTAAAGCATTTTGATATCAACAACATTAATAATTTTTTTTAGAATTATTATTTGTATTATAAATACATTACAAAAATTCATTTAGGAGTGTTTATTAAAATAAGAAGTTTAAATGTATTTCATAGTTTTAAAGATGTATTACAAGAGTAAGGAATGTGAGACTCACTGTACGTGTGCGAGGATGTCGTTCAGTTGATCTCGCGCGGCCGTGGCGACGGCGGCGCACCAGCGGTCTGGCGGGGCGGTGGGAGCGGTGGGGGCGGTGGGGGAGGCGGGGGCGGCGGGGCAGGTGGGGGAGGGGCGGGGGGCGCGCAGCTCGCGCACGTCGAGCAGCGTGCGCAGGCGCCGCAGCCAGCGCGCGTCGGCCGCGCCGCCCAGCGACACCCACACCAGCAGCGCCTCGCCGGCGCCGGCAGCGCCACCAGCGGCACACGCTGCACACGCACACACCAACCACGCTACTATGTATACTACTAGACCGGCAACTCAGAACAAAACAGCTGAGGACTGCGCGGCTGTGCAGCTGTCATGGTAACTATACTGTTACTGTTTTAGGCAAGTACGAAATAAACTAAGCGCGCAATGTAACACAGACGCAGAGCCCATCTATTAGTATACATAGACGTCTTTGCTCTTATACACTCCTAATCCATAAAGCTATTTTACAAAGTAAATCTGAATAAATCATTACAACAAAGAACATACTCCTTTTTCAGTCAATATCGCGTAAATCAAAAGGTGTACCTTAATTACGCCAACATTCAGTTACATTTGGATTATAGTCTGCGATTCCACCTGTTTTTTTTTTTTTAATTTGAATACAACTTTTATGAACAATAGTTACTAACTAAATTTAACTAAAATGTTTTGTGCCCATATTCTGATAACTAACTCAGTAATTCTATTTTCACAAAAATTTAATTGTTTTTATAAAAATAAATTATTTATAATATTATCATCAGTACAGCCAACCCAAGAAACACCATGAAGTATGGTCCTGAGCCACCTGCATCTTGAAAAAAATATTTAAAAAGCTTAAAAAGTATAGGTTGCCACTTCTAAATGTAACTTTTTTCTCTATAAGATGGTGTAGGGTTGCTGATTAAAAAGTAAAGTGACCAAATAAAGGTTGTCTATTATCAATGGTACGCAACAGCGAGGCAGAGTTATTCACATCATTATTAGTTTTTGGTTAAACTATAGACATCCAGTACTCGCGTACGAGGGTGGGAAGTGGAGGGGGGAGCGGGAGGGTTCAGGGGAAGCCTCCCCTACCCTTCCCCCCTTGCGGAAATATATAGTTTATGAGTATTAATTTTTTGTTGTAAAACCATAACCTCACTTTTTTACACAGGAATATTGACACAAAGTTACTTCTGCAACGGCTTCGGCGATGCGGGAAGTGCAGCTCTGCTGCTCTCCCTCCGCGCCTTCGGCTTACAAAAACACTCTAGGGGTAGGGCAGACAAGACTACGTGGATTCGGGATGTTCTGATTCAGTTTTAGTACAGATTCGATCTATCTTAGCTGTTTCCCTAAACTCTGCTATGATAGTGATAAATGAAAGAATGTAATTTTAAATCAAATCAAAAAAGTTCAAAAACAGAGCAGAAGTTGTCGTAAAACAGGGAAAACACCGCACTACGCACAAGAGAGAACATTCCCATGATCACTAGAGAAACAGAATGACATTTGACATCATAGATATTATGTTTTACATTTACGGTTGCCCAAATTATGGCCGTCAGCACCGTCCCGTTTCACACTATTTTACATCGGTTTTTGAAATATTATCTCATATCACTATCAAAATGTCATATTTGCGTTTCGTTATACGGAATTTTTAGTGAAATTTATTTTTATTGTAATTAATTCAAATCTCTTTTCCGGCATCAAAAAATAGTGTAAAAGGTTCATGCTTAGCCCAGACAAACCTCCTAAACTGAAAACATAATTAAAATCAAGTACCGGATATCTATAGCCAACCCGTTTTTTTTTTCTGTACCGTTACATAAACAGAAACTTTTTTATTCAATGTAGATTATAAATAATACTTATTGAAAGTCACTCTCACTCTTATGTTTAAATGAACACTTGTTCGCAAAAAATACCTCTGTCCTGGGAAGAACCAGCAAGAAACCCAGCGAGACTTTTTTTTAAATAACAGCTTACAATCAAGTATGTTACACAATTAACAACACAAAACAAAGTAGCCTTATAGCGATCACTTCATTGTCAGCTGTTATTATCATCCATAAATTCCTTATATTATTATAACCTTTTTTATACAAACTATTAAACTAATAAAGTTTTGAAGTTTGAGCAGGTCAAATTTTGTAAGTTTTCTGGGATTTTGTTGTAAAAGCGTATATATACATCGTCCTAAAAAAAGATATAATGACTCGGTGGAGTCGAGTAACTGGTACAACTAACTAGTTCCTAGTATTGTTCCTAGTATTTACATTATGTATAACAATTATTTTTGTAAAACTACTTTTATTTTTGTGTACGTACATTATATTTTCATAAATGTATTAAGAGGCCAAAGTTAATATGTTAATTTACTTAAATTTTTTCCGGGATACTCTTTAGATTTTAAAGCATAGATTGCTCTTATGGTCCTCTTCTGTAAAACAAATATAATTTCAGTGTCAGTCGCGTGTCCCCATAGCAAAATACCATACGACATTATGCTATGAAAACAGCTATAGTAAACAAATCTAGCTGTTTCAACACTGGTAATATTTCTAATATTTTTACAGCATATGCTGCAGAACTAAGTCTGCTTGCTAATTTTCATATATGGGGGCTCCATTGAAGCATCGCGTCTAGTGCGATTCCAAGAAAAATGGTAGTATCGACGAGACTCAGTTTCTCATTTAAAATTACATTAGTATTTAAATGTTTCACATTTGGAGTCATGAATTTCATACATTTCGTTTTAGTGCCATTTATATGCAAGTTATGCATTAAACCGATTTACTAATTTAGATATGTTTTTCGTGGGTAGGTGTGCAACAAGTAACAGCTGTCTAATTTGCTCTTATATTTTATTTACATTTAAATTATTTTAAAGTAGTGTTTGGACTATATTTACATACTAATTACATTTTTATTACCTTTTCTTTGGAAGTCATATTGAAATACATGTCCAGATAAAGATATTTGTGACTTACTCATACCACCCATCAGTGTAACTTCTTTTTGCAAACTATATCACTCACTGGCACTTCACTGATATCACTTGAAATATTGCAAGCAATGGCAAAAGTATCTGATGTGGAGGTCTTGCAGAGAGAACTTGAAGGAAGCTGGAGTCGCAAGATGGCTGATTTTGAAAACAGATTAAAGGCTGCTTCTACACCAAGTAATACCTCTCTTAATCAACTCCGTGAGGAGTTTTATGAATTCAAAGACATTGTTAGCTCTGTACTCACTCTCCTTCGGCAACAGATTCATGCCTGCACTATGACAATTGATAGTATTGATATGCAGCATAGGCAGAACATTCTCTTATTTAATGGGATCTCTGATTCTCCTGAACTTAATATTGAACAAGAAATACTGGGCATCATACATAATAAAATGGGTATCCCACATGTAACAAATTTATCCTTTTTACGTTCTCATCGAATTGGTGTTCATAAGGATGGTCATTCACGGCCAATTCTTGTACAATTTCAAGATCACCGCACAAAGTCTGAGGTGTGGAAAGCTAGAACTAAGTTAAAGGGCTCCCAAATATCGGTGTCAGAGTTTTTAACCAAAATGAGGCAATCTGTTCATAAAAAAGCATGCAAACATTTTGGATTGAAGAATGTGTGGACCTTCAATGGCACAATTTTTATAAAACTCCCCAATAACGAACGGGCAAAGATCTCCACTGAAGAGGAGATTGATAATCTCATTGGAAAGTTTCCTGGTGATTGCTCACCAGTTAGTCATGGCATAGCTTCTAATAGTGGCGTTACTAATGTTGCAAAGAAGCCCATTCAAAGCCAGCAAAGTTCTTCAAGCTCAAAAAGTCAGTGTGAGATTTCTCGGCGCAATCAAGATGGTATGGTGGGGCAGAAAGAGGATCCTAAAAGGTCCCGCCGTTTAATAGCTAAAAAGTAGCTTATTTAAATTATCTTGTTATATTCTTAGGTATCCTTTAATTTTTTTATATTTAATATTAAGTACATTTCATGGTTCTGATTTCAACTTTAGCATAGAACACTATTATGCCTATACTTTTGAGTAGTTCGCTTGTAATAGCTGTTTTATTGCAATTTTTTTTAAATTTCTTTTCCTTGTAAAATAAACTCCTTTGGAATGTTTGTCCTTGTAAATCAAGATAGAATTTAATCATGTTTCATGTCTAGTATATCACTTGCTTATGCTTAGTTTTCTCTTTAGTTAGTTAGTAGAGGAGTCTTACTTATTTAGTAGGTTTATCTATGCTATGCATGTTAATGGTAATAATCTAATTACAATCATCTTTATAATTTGTGCTAACAATACTTATTGTTTTTTACTTTTATAAATGTACCCTAAATTGACCGTAAAAACTATACATAATATTTTCCATTTGATTTATAATTTTGACATTATTTTTTTTTTTTTGCCTTGCTAGACAAAGGACAAATGTACCATACAGCCACTATCGATTTTGTACTTTAATTTTGTAATCGATTTATTATGGTAGACTCTTATTATTTTGTGAGATACCTATTTAGGAATATTAATATTATTAGACAAAATATTTTGCCACTTCAGATATTATATTTTATAGTTTGCACATAAAATTTATTTATATTAAGTTTACTTTGTAAACGGTTAACTGATGGGATGGTGTTGTTTATGTTTACTACGTTTTAGCATATAAATTAGTTTTATAGTTTACATTCCTTACTTTTATATTTTATATATAATTTTGTTTAGTTTTTTTTGTATATTTATTTTATTTATGTATTATCTTAGTCTATGAATTATGTCTGATTTTGAGTCATTTAGCTCTGCAAATGATTCTTCTGCCATATCATTTTACTCTTGTGATGATTCCTTTACCGACAGTGTGCTTGAATTACACCAACTACTCAAAGAGGTTTTTAAGCCTTTTAACAACTCTCTGAACATATGTCACATAAACGCTCAAAGTATCCCGAACCACTACACCGAACTCGAAGCTTCATTTTCACCCGAGCATATTCATGCCATATTAGTGTCGGAAAGTTGGCTAAAGCCTTCTTTACCGTCAACTTTATATCCCCTACCCGGCTTTGTACTTGTTAGGAATGATCGGGTTGGAAAAGGTGGAGGTGGTGTAGCCATTTACCTACACGCATCAATTCCTCATAAAATTGTTTCAGCATCTCCTTCCTGTTACTCTGCCTCTTCTGAGTTTTTATTTTTGGAACTTGATGTCAAGGGTATAAGGATGCTTCTAGGGGTAGTGTATTGCCCCCCTTCGACAGATTACTTCGCCACTTTAGATATGGCTCTTGTTGATATTTGTTCTGAGTACGCACACTGTATAATCATGGGTGACTTCAATACAGATTTGTTGAAAAACTCTCCTCGTTCCAAAAAACTTCTTTCAATTGTTGAGTCGGTTAATCTTTCTATTCTCCCTTTAAAGGCTACTCATCACAATATTGGAACCGATGACTCATTGATTGATCTCATCCTTGCTGCTTCTCCTGATCGTGTGATGACGCACGGACAGTTACCTGCTTTGGGCATCTCACGTCATGACTTGATTTATTCTTCGTATAAGCTAAAACCTCCCAAATATTCCCCTTCTGTACTGCATCTGCGCAGTTTTTCTAAAATAGATTTTGACAAGCTAAGGGATGACGCTCTTAGTCTGGATCTAACCTCATTTATTGCAGCACCTACTGTTGACGATAAAGTCTCTATCCTTAACCAAAATATTCTCAGCCTTTATGATGCTCATGCCCCAATTCACAAGGTTAGATTGAAGCGTCCTCCAGCCCCATGGATGACAGAGGGCGTAAGGATGGCAATGACTAGACGTAATCGAGCTTTTCTTCGTTTTAAGAGAGAACGTAATGAAGAAAATTGGTCATCTTTTAAAGCAGCCAGGAATAGGTGCAATCAAATGGTACGGGCAGCTAAACGCCGATATTTCCATAATTGTATTAACAACTCTTCTCCCGCCGAAGTGTGGAAATTTCTTAGATCTTCTGGTCTTTGCAGGCCAGCTACATTGGATTGTGGTCCTTCTCTATCACTTGATGAAATCAACCAACATTTCGCTTCTGTAACAGCAATGGACCCTACAATTCGCTCTCAAACTGTGGCTTCTATTGCTTCTGTGCAAATTCCTAATATACCTACCTTTAATTTCTCTCCTGTTTCGCAGGATGATGTCAAAAAGTCTATTTTAGCAATTCAGTCCAAGGCGGTGGGTTATGATGAGATTAGTAGACAAATGGTAGTATTTATACTAGAGCACCTTCTTCCGGCAATTTCCCATGTTATAAATTTTTCCCTTGATTCAGGTCAGTACCCTAATCTTTGGAAAAGGGCTTTTATAAGGCCCCTTCCAAAAGTTCCTTCTCCCATTCTTCCCAATCATTTTCGCCCTATATCCATTCTACCCTTTCTATCCAAAATTTTAGAATCCTGTGTTTACAAGCAAATTTCTACATTCATTTCGAAACATAACCTACTGAGTATATATCAGTCTGGGTTTCGCCCTGGTCATAGTACCAGTACTGCTTTAATTAACGTCACAGACGATATTAGAAACGGTATGGAAGAAAAAAAAGTAACAGTACTGGTACTAGTTGATTTCTCAAATGCTTTCAACACAGTTGATCATGAAATCCTTCTATCCATACTGTCTCATCTAAATTTTGGCCCTACAGCATTGGAATGGTTTGCATCTTATCTTCGCGGTCGACAGCAGTCAGTCTGTGTGGGGCAAATAACCTCAGCTTGGGCTGATGTGGAAGCTGGTGTACCGCAAGGCGGTATTCTTTCTCCTATAATTTTTTCTATTTTTATAAACTTTATTACCTCCATCTTCGATTGCTCGTACCATCTGTATGCCGATGACCTTCAGCTATACGTGCAAGCTGAAATTGGGGATATTCATAATGGGATTAAAAAATTAAATAACAACTTACAAGCTATCAAGGATTGGTCTACTCGTTATGGAGTATTGGTCAATCCTTCAAAATGCCAAGCTATACTGGTGGGTAGCTCAAGGATGCTAGCCAAGATTAATCTTGCAGACATACCCTCTATCTACTACAATGGGATTACAATACCGTTCAGTAAGTCTGTAAAAAATCTTGGCCTACACATTGACAACACGCTGAATTGGAGAACTCAGGTTACTGAAGTCAGTCGTAAAGTCACTTCTACGTTACGTACTCTGTATCGTTTAAAACATTTTCTCCCCACAAAGTCTAAGATCATGCTTGTCCAATCACTCATATTACCCATATTTGATTATGCAGATGTGTGTTACCCGGATCTGACCCAGGATCTTCTGAACAAGCTGGAACGCCTTCTCAATAACTGTATAAGATTTATTTTCGGGCTTCGTAAGTATGACCATATTTCGCAATATAGATCTAAGCTTAATTGGCTTACAATCCGGCAGAGGCGTATTTCCAGAATATTACTTGTTCTTTTTTCCATATTAAATGACCCATTTTCGCCTTCTTATCTTAAGAGCAAATTTCACTATCTCTCCTCATCTCATGATAGGGTTCTACGTTCGTCTTCTAACAACAAAATTTGTATTCCAGTTCACTTCACCGAGTTCTATGGTAACTCCTTTACAGTTCAGGCTGCACGCCTTTGGAACTCCTTGCCTGACGACATCAGAAAAGCTCCCACTAAGTTTGCTTTTAAAAAGTTGGTGCGTAATCATCTATCTGTTAAAGACAACGCTTCTTAGATGAATCATCCATGTCATTTATATTTTAGACGTATATATTTATAGTTATTAATATGTATTATTTGTATATGTATGTTGGTATGAATATATGTATGCTTATGTATGTACGTATATATTTGTATACATGTATAAATAGGATATATTTTTATAGTTTATTTATTGTATATAATAGTAATATGTATATATAATGTAATTAATTATACATTTCTATTTTCTTTTTATTCTATATTGCTACACCTACTTCAAATTCTCACCACTCCATGGGTTGACTGGTAGAGAATGCCACAAGGCATTAAGTCCGCCCTTTGTATTCTTTTAGGTTAAGGAATGCAATAAAGAATAAATAAATAAATAAATAAATAAATATAGCATTATTTACTTCTTCATATTTTAATAATTTGAAAGTTAATGAAATGTTATCAGCAAATAATACTATATTATGGTTATCCCCTAGTACGTAAAATAAGTCATTAATAATACACACAAGTAATAAAAAGGGGACGAGAATTGAGCCCTGAGGCACGCCCATTTGTACTATCGACACGGAAAAGCACAACTTTTTGCATTGCGTTACTTAAATATGAAATAATTCATTTAAGAGCATTACTTCTTAGACCGCAGTGTTGAAGATTCCTGATGAATGTTCCATGGTGAACACAATCGAAGGCTTTGAATAGGTCACAGAATATATTTAACATACATTTAATCAGCACAAAACCAGCATCACTTGTCGAGCGACGCCTTGGGAAACCGAATTGATTTTCGTGAAGTAAATTATTAAAAAAAAAATTGAACAAGAATAATATTTTCAAAAATTTTACTAAGGGTGGGCAATACTGAAATTGGTTTAAAATTGGCGGGGTCTAATGTACTACCAGATTTCCAACTTGGTAAATTCATCATTGAAAACTTCCAGTGTAAAAATTATATGTACGAAACGGGAGCAAATTTTAGTGGCGGTTAAATCTTATTTTTACTTTTCGTAATATGTCTATCAATGACATTGTCAAATCAAATAGGTTCAAACGGTTAAAGAACAATGGCAGACTTTCATACATAAAATTAGTTGAGAAGGAATGGTAGCGTCTATATTTCAAAAATATCTTAAAATGTTACACGTCAGTCCCTGAATAAGTTTGTCAAAGAATTTTGTCCTGAGAAGGCGTCAAAAAAAGGATATTTAGATTTCAACCTCTTAGGTTATGACTTATGTCACTTGGAAAAAGTCATGCGTCCTGTGGTTGTTTGATGTTGGCTTAATACATTTTCAACATAATGTACCTACCTAAACAATTGAGAGCTTTAGATTATTGTAACTCTATTACATATTTGCATACTATAAATGTATACTTCCAGCATGGCTCCAGAGCCTTTGTCATACAGTGACATTGTCAGAAGGACAAGAACCCAGAGCCGTAAAGCCAGTAAAAAAACAGTGACTTTTTGTTTTACCTAGTGTTACTATAACATTAAATGGAATTGTTACATAGTACCATGATTGAGATAATGTATTATTGTAGGAAGTTCTTTGCAAGAGACTTATTTTCAACCATATCACTTTTATTTTTATTATTACTGATAGTATAGTTATTACTAATAATAAACTTTATATAAAAATATTTTGTGTTTGTGTTGTGTTGGTAGTCTTACAAAGTATATTATATAATTTAAAATAAAAAGTTTTGTACAGCCGACTTCGATATAAGCGACTTCAATATAGGTTATTTAAGAATAATTCAATAACCATTCGTCTGACCTTGATCAAATTCATATGGGACTACACGAGAACTATCAGCTTTCATATAAAAAAAGAATCATCGAAATCGGTTCGCCCAGTACAAAGTTATGAGGTAACACACATAAAAAAAAAACATACAGTCGAATTGAGTACCGTCTCCTTTTTGGAAGTTGGCAGAAAATAGTATGAATATAGTAAATGGCGACACTTGAATAGATTAAAGTGATTTAAGTAATTTGATATTCCCAAAAATTTTTGTTTTTTCTGTGGCTGTAATTAAAATACATTTTATTTGAAAAATCATAGAAAAATAATAAAACCCATTTTATATATAAGTTGTTTCTAGACGCAATCATTTTTGACAACTATTTTCTGTCCTTGTTCTTTATATTTGTTTTAATTATTATTTAGACTGCTATACTATATATTACTGAGATTTTTAATAATGTGAGCTCACCGTCATAGGTGGGGTCTAATGGGTCGGGCGGGACCGGCGGCAGGTGTGGCGTGAAGCGCTCAGCGAGGCGCGGTGCGGCGCGGCGCAGCTCCGCCAGCAGCTCGACGTACAGCGCGCGCTGGCGGCGCGGCAGCGCGGCGCTCAGCGCGCCGTGCAGCCAGGCGGCGGCGCGCGCTCCCCCCGCCACCCCCGCGCGCCCCGCGCAGCTCGCCGCCAGCGCAGCGCGCAGCCGCCGCGCCCCCGCGCGCGCCTGCTCGCGCCGCAGCGCCACGCCCACCGCCCCCGCAGCCCCCGCCGCCCCCGCGCCCGCCAGCCGCGCCAGCCGTAGCTGCCGCACCGCCTCCACGGCCACGCCCGCCAGCCGCGCGTGCGCGCCGCTCGGGGCCTGCATAGTCACGCGCTCCTCCCACTCGTCCTCCTGCTCCTCGTCGTCGTCGTCGTCGTCATCGTCGACGTCGTGTTCTTGGCCGGGTAGGTCGGCGAGCAGCGCGGCGGCGCGGTCGCGCGGCACGTGCTCCACGTCGATGTCGTCGTCGGCGGCGGAGGGGGGAGAGGGCGGCGCGGCGGCCAGCAGTTCGCGCGCGTCCAGCGCACAGCCGGACGAGTCACGCGCGCGCGCGTACGAGTGCTCGTGCCACACGCCACACCGCTCGTCCTGTATGTACGCCTTTACATTTAACAACAATAGCAAAATGATAGCATCCTGAAGATAAATGCGAGCAAACTGCACCATTCATATTGTACCATATCATGTAAAAAGGTAAAAAAATGGCACATATAAATGTATGTTTTTTTTTTCAATACATTGTTATAATAACCAATATTCTTACTAGCCTAGTTAAAAGTAATAATAACTAAATATAAATTTTATTTACTTAAATAAATTATTCTTCTTATACAAAAAATAATAATTTATGAAACAATTGTTAAAATATTTATAATATATGTATAGAACATTACACTGTGAAGTGAGTTTAAGATTTTACAAGAACATTTTTCATGATGAGGGACATTATTGTTGGTTATACAACTAACAACCTAGTCAAAACACAAAAGCAAGTCCATGAAAATATACAATAACATGGGCACAACTTAATAAATCTCAAATCTACCAGAAAAATCCAAAAACAAAGAGTCAGTTGCTCAAGCATTTCAAAACAAATCAATAAATTTGTAAAGAAACTTTAAAAAATAAAACTAAAAAGAATTATAAAAATTATTAGCAAATTATATTTTTTTTATAGCATAAGGGTAACAAACTAGCACACAGTCCACCTGATGGTAAGTGGTTGCTGTGGCCCATAAACATCTACACCTATCCTTGATTACGAATCAAAATGCAGATGCATTGTCACCCGTGAGGACTAATGGATGGAATGCCTCATTTCCAGTAAAAGGGGTCTCCAGTTCTCTACACTCACCATACAAAACACTAGCAGTGTTAGTCTGCTATTTTACGCTGGTATTCTGAAACAACATGGTCCTTCCCTGGTCGAGCCGACCCATCCATGCTACAACTATACTAGTAATATAGCTGCAGCATCGTTCTACCACGTAACTATATTTTATATATTTTAAATTTTATCGAAAATGTTGTTAGAGGAAACATCTCCAATTTACTAAAGGTGTGTACTAGGGATGTTACGGAAGTGGTTATATCGGAACCGAATTCGGAAGTGGAGTTTTTAAATTATGTTTGTCAGAACCGGAACTGAAACCGGAACCAGAATCGGAGGTGGAGGCAGAAGAGATGTGTTAAGGGCAGGTCTATCGCACTGTATTATTCTTTTCAGTTTCAAATTTTTTGAATTCTTTGCATTCAGTGACATGCAAAGACTTTGATGACTTATTAACGAAGTAATCATATCACCTGCCTTTCGTGAATATATATTCTCACATAGTGAACACTTTTCCATATTCTCAGAAACTTCATTGAAATAATTCCAAATGACACTTGATTATGGCTTCATTGTCCAATCCAAATAAATTTGTTACAACTAAAATAAAACATTACTAAAACTAATCAAAAACTCGGATAGTATAAATGAAGTGCGAACACACAACATGCTAATTGCCAAATACGAAACAAAACATCAAGTTAAAGAGTAATCGACAGAAGACACAGGGCAGGAAGGTTCCCGGGGCGACAAGTATAAAATTGTTTGTGCACGCTGATCGCGGCCGCCGCCACCACTGTGCTTCGACCTCCGATATATATCTTCCGATTAAAATTTAACAAAATCGAAATCGGAATAGAAGGTGCAAAATCAATCGGAAGTTCCGAACTTTCGGAATCGAACCTCTGTAACATCTCTAGTGTGTACATATTATATAACATAACATGTTATAAAATTGTTATATAACATCTTTCAGTTATATGGAGACTGCATGTTATAAAACATGTTATTTAACGTGACACAAACTTATGCATACATGTGTACTTTTTAAAGGATAAAAATAAGGTTCGCTCTACAAGAGGTGAGTATTCCAGAGGTAAAAGAACTTTTTTATGATATTTTATTATTACAAGCTTTTACATTGTGAATAACACTGCAGAACGACAAATGACAATGTCATATAACATTGTTATATTGTATTGTTATTCTAATGTGTACAGTATTGTCATATGTTACAATGTTGAAAAACAATGTAACATAATGTGGATGTGTTATAAAACACAAGTTACACACCATGTTACTTAATCTGTATGCACCCTAACATTCTTGATATTAAGTACACATATATTGTATTTTTATGATATATACTGGATAATTAGCATAGTCACTTTACCCGCCTTCCTCCTTCAAATTTTATTAGTAAAGAACAAAATACTAACTGGGTCTCCAGCAATAATGTGTGCATAGGCGACAAGACGTTCATGCATCATGTAGACATCGCCACTACTCGCCAATTCTGTCTGTAACATAAAAGTGAAACTTTGAAAATAGATTTTTAAAACACACTCAGATTGTGATATCTGTCGTTTTTTTGATTCAGGTTGGTAGCTACAAGACTTATTATTTGTCCAAGTGGATGAACTGCAACATATATGCAATCAAACTGGTAGGATTGCATACATGTTGCAGTTCATTTTGTATGCCAATTGGTTGTTAGTTGTTTTTTTCATTATGCACATTAAGCACGATAAAATCAAGAGAATTTAGTGTTGGTATGGATATAAAAACAGCATTCTGGCAATTTACATTAAATAAATACACAGACTGTTTAATGTTAATACACCGTCCGAGAAATTTATTTGCCCACCAGTTGAGATGCTAATGCATTACAGCATCTGAATAATAATAATAGTTAATTACTAAGATTAAGGTGTCGAAGTCTGGTAACTTGATTTGATTGATCACTCACAAGCACTATTTGAAGCTTAGAATGAATATCATCAACAATATTCTTATTACTATTTAATTCTAAAAACAAGTAGGCAAAATATTATGAGAAAAAGAGGTGACACGACTCAAATTCCAGCCAAAATTTCAGCCTAGCTTAAGGTCATGCCCTCAGAGTACCTTAATATACATTTATGCCTTTTAAGTTTTACGTATTGTAAGGAAGTTTTAAAGGCAGAGATATTTTTTTTTTATAGGATAAGGGTGACAAACGAGCACACAGTCCACCTGATGGTAAGTAGTTGCTGTGGCCCATAGACATCTACATTTATCCTCGATTACGAATCAAAATGCAGATGCGTTGTCACCCATGAGGACTAAGATGGAATGCCTCGTTTCCAGTAAAAAGGGTCTCCGGTTCTCTACACTCACCATACAAAACACAGCAGCATTAAGCTGCTATTTTACGCTGGTATTCTGTGAGAGCGTGGTCCTTACCCGGTCGAGCCGATCCATTTGTGTTACAACTATGCCAGAAATATAGCTGCAGCATTGGCTCTACCACGTATATAAATGCGTAACAACTTCTAATTTTGAATTATGTCACGAGTATGAATTAAAACAGATAAAAGTAATTATTAAGCTTCTTTTAACGTCTGTTTTAATCAACCGTAAAGTCAGCATTTAAGAAAATAGTCGTGGAATTCGGACACGAAAGGTTTTCTGCCTACACTCACCTTACTTGGAGAACTTTTGCTTGTATTTGAAAGTTGAGTTTCATTTTCCGCCATCGTCATTTTTTACCACTTATTTTACTCTTTTGTTCGCGATTTAACTAATGAGAAAAAGTAACAAATATTGTTTTGGATGGTGTTTACAAATATAACAAATGTCTATGAATTTTACTACAGGTATTACAGTTTTTACCAAAAAGAAAATAATTATGTAGTACTTGGTAATTTATAACACGATGATATAAAGAAGTGCCTTTAAATCAAATATACAAATATTTATTATAATCACAAACTAATAGGAAGTGCTAGATTATAATTAACAATAACCTCAAACCCTCAAACATTTCACTGATTAAATTGACTTATGTCCTTTTTTAATAAAAACTGAGAATGTAAGGCAAAGGATTATATGTCCTTACTGCCTTGTCTTGTTCAAATAGTTCTCTAGACCACATATTATAACTAAAGATTCTACCAAATATATACATAGGCGATACAAATCTTATATAAATACAAAATCTATATATCGGTACAATATCTTTTTTTTATAGGATTGGGTGACAAATGAGCACACAGCACCTGATGGTAAGTGGATGCTGTGGCCCATAGACATCTTTACATCTATCCTCGTTTGCGAATCAAAATTCAGATGCGATGCCACCCGCGAGGATTAAGATGGAATGCCTGTTTTCCAGTAAAAAGGGTCTTCGGTTCTTTATACTCACCATACGAAACACAGCGGTGTTAAGCTGCTATTTTACGCTAGTATTCTGTGAGAGTGTGGTCCTACCCCGGTCGAGCCGACCCATTCGTGCTACAACTATAGTAGTAATATAGCTGCAGCATTGCTCTACCACGTATAAAACCAAACAATCAAATCACATGAAATACTTTCATTATTTAGTTTAAAAATTCAAAATATAGAGATATGATTTAAATAATACAACAGACTTTGGCATATTATGTCGATTATATTACGATGACATAAAAGTCGGGGAAATCCGCCGAAATCCCACTAGCATGGGGACATGCTGGGTGTGGTGCCCAGTCACGGCAGTCAGCAAGATTGCGACTGTTGGGCGAGTGCGCGTGGGGTGAGGGTCTGCTCGCGTTTAAATACTGGAGCTGGAGTTTACGTTGCCTAGAAACGTTAGGGCACGTTGCCAGCAGGTGCTCCAGTAAAACAAACAGAGGTGCACGTTGTTATTCTTGTGGAGAGCAAGGACACAGGGCGAAACAGTGCACTGCGTCGGCACTAAAATGTCCCCTGTGTTCCGATTTCGGGCATTCTGCTGGCCACAGATTAGGCAAGAAGTGCATCCTACCTCGGCGGCTACAACGACTTCTGTCGCTGCACCGAATATTAGCTCGGCTATGGAGGTGGTTGAGTTATAGATTCGCGTCCCTTAAAGTCCTCTAGGGCAACCTAAACCCCTGCTGCAATGCGTAGCATCTGCTCATGCAAGCCATCTGAATCGGGCTCTGTCGCCATTTGCTGATCGGGGGAGGGTCCGCCACCCTGCGCTCTATTGAGAAGAGGGCAGGGCTTTGTTGTAGTGCAATGAGGCCCCCTGGTCATAGTGTGCTGCTATGTCTCTCGTCATACGACGATCCCAAAGGAGATGATTGTATGGGCGGCTGGGCTGGATCTCCTATTAATGAATCAGGGGTCCGTAAGCACATGTGTACGGTGGCAGGGGGAGCAATCGTGGATCTTACGTGGGCAACTCCTCCTGCAATGCAAATGCTGTCGGGCTGGCGAGTGGCGGAGTAGGCGGTCACTTTGTCTGACCACCGCCACATTGTATTCGATGTCGCACTTCGACAGCCCGACAGTGATAGTCATAGTCATTTATTCCATAGAACAATATTACTAATATTATACTATACTAATATTGGAAATTTATTACATGGATAAAGAGCACCATTTACATGCAGTTATTTTAATTAAAATAAGCATCGATAAAATTTAAACATTATTTAACAAATTAATTAAATACTTTTCCTGTCATAATATAAATTATACAGTACATAAACAATAAAAATTAACATTCATTAAGTTTATTTTTGTCATTAAGGTAATCGTCAACTGAGTAGTACCTTTTTTTTAAATTAATAATGATTTTAATAAATTTTGAAATTTGTGGTGGCAATAAATACTTGTAGTTTTAAATGAGGTAAGCAAATAATCAAATAGTCCAATTGCTTGATATCTTGTGCTGTGGCGTACAACATTCAATGTTGGTGTGATAGAAATTTTTAAATCTTTTCGACGGGTCATTTCACTCTTTTTCCTTTCTTCGTATGTTTCATATTTGCGAAAGTTCTTTACTAAATAAGTAAGTGCAACCAAGATATACAGAGAAGGGACCGTTGATATGCCAAGATTTCGGAAATGTTCCTCACGACTCAATTTGTGAAATACGTAACATGGTACGGATCGCCCTTTTTTGTAGTACAAACGCTGCCTTAATATTATACTTATAGCTATTGCCCAAGAATATTATACTATAACGTAGTTTAGATTATACTAGAGCAAAATAAACCATTTTTTAGCTATTCTAACGTAACTTTTTCTCGTAAACTTCTTAAGGCATAGCATGCTGAACTCATAGTGGATTCTAGTGCTTTAATTTCCTTTTTCCAATTCAAATACATGTCAATGAGTTTGAATTGGAAAAGAAAAGTTCAAGAAAAGGAATGAAAAAGTCAATATTTATACTGTAAATGTTAACGTTTATTGATTCTTTTTGTCTTGCTGTCGATTTAAAAAGCATTGCGTATGTTTTATTTGTATTTAATAAAAATATCGTTTGTAGTAAACCAACTTTTAAAGTCGTACATTGTGTTTTTCATTTTAGTATTTAATTCCTCTATCGAGCTAACAGATACAATCGCGTTGGTATCATCCGCATAAATAGTTAGTTTCACATCATGCTGTTTGTATGAGTGTAAGCAGTTAAATCATTAATGAATATTATAAATAATATGGGTCCCAAAATGGAGCCTTGTGGAACGCCCTGATTTATGGTTGTCAATTTAGATTTATATACCGTTTCTTCACCGTCTATTATTGTTTTAATCTCAACGAATTGTTTCCTATTTGATAAGTAGGATTCCAATAACTTTAAAATTGAGCCTCTAATTCTGTAGGTAATGTTCCAATTTCAGTAGCAGTATATCGTCACTGGAAAGCCAATACTACTTAAGCGCCATTTTGACCAAAATGAGTTATACAGGGTATTTTTGGAACGCTCCCGAAAACGAAGACAGACGACAGTACCAACTATATCTTTGATGATGGGTGGAATATAAAATCGATCCTGATGAAAGAAAAATCACCTCGGAATATACGTGTGTATTTCTTCGGTTCCACAGGCCGTTTCTGGTAAATGTCGACTCGACCTTCCAGATGACGTGCTCAATGAAACCAGGCACACGTTGTTGTTGGTCTAATAACCAACAGCAGAAAACTTTGTATGGGTGCATTCGGCTACGCTTTAACACTTTGTGAACTGTATAGTATGACACACTTGTTCCATCCCGACGCCTTAACAATTTAGCGAAACTTCGTGTACCTAGGTTCAGATTCCGGCGAACGACATCTAAAATGCGCTCCTCTGAGTGAACAGCCACTTGACTTCCACTTCATGCCGCTACCAGAGCAATGGGCCGATTTTCCAACACTCGATGAAATGCTGCTGTTATCAGACGAGAGTCAGCTGGATGTCGAGCGGTCGGGAATTTCTCTCGGTAAATTCGCAATGCATGCGAAGCATTCCCGCGAGCTACCTCAAGGCACATTAACATGTTGCCGTATTCACGAGCACTATAAACGTACGCGTTAGGCGTTATAAAAACAAGACAAGAAACTTAAACCGTAACAACAAGAATAATATCATTAAGTATTCAATAACAAAAATAATTTAATAAACAAAACAATTGTACTGTCTCTCGTGATGGTTAACACGGAACTGTAACAAAAACTAAAATTATTAATTTATTCCGCCAAAACAAATGCGCACATAAGCCAAAGTCCTTGAAGCACTGGAACTTTCCACACACCGTTAAAGCGTTATGTATGTTAAGACATCGCCAACGTTTATTTATTTATCCCTACGACTAGTCTTCATATGGAATTTAAAAGTTATGGTTGTCATTTTTAATACAATTACACAATCAATTGTACCCTGACGCAACAAGCAGTTCTTTACTACAAAAATTATTGAAATTAATAAACGTACCTAATTGGGTACTCAGTACTCACACAACTATAAACACTATTTCATCGTTATCTTTGATTTTGTATAAGAAAATAGAAATGAAATGGTACTGAATAATTTAATAGTTAAATCAATTGCAATTATGATCGACAGTTGATCAATCTATCAGAATTAATGTAAAAAATAATACGTTTACTTTATTTTAATTGACTTTCCGTATTTAATCCGGTGAAATGAAAGTGGACGAAGCAAAACAAGCATGTAAGGATCGTAGCAAGTGGAAAGAAGTGGTCTCTGCCTACCCCTACGGGAAAGAGGCGTGATTATATGTATGTATGTAATACTTTGAATTTAAAAAGAGGTACGTAAATTGTTAAAAATGACTTGCAAGTTTTATAGTGATTGCCGCCTGTAATTCTTATGTCGCCGGCAAACTAAATTTCAGTGCAACGTGGAGGGAGTGTTTGCGCTATAGTTTTATAATATTATAGTAATTAACTGTTTTATTGTAGAATCATAATAGGTGTTTTACTAGCTACTTAGAACTTTGGAAGAGGTTGGAATTAAAAATGGATAATGTTTACTTGAGCATTATTTGTTATTTCTATCGTAAAATATAAAGTAGTTTGTAACAAGAAAACTTAAGCTAAGGGTGACACGTCGTCCAATATGTCGTCTTGGGTCACATGGAAGCCAGATGTTGATGGTGTGTTGATGTTACTGGATGCTACTTCATCATCACTTTCATCTTTGCTTGAGCTTCCGTCACATGGTAATTTTTTCCGTATTCTTCCTCAACACTATTAACTTTAGTGCACATTTTTCGCCATTCACCTTCTC